AATGAAAGGGAAAATAAAGGGTATAAAGTCTCTGGAGTTGAAACTCTGGTACTTTGTGTGGTGCTATGCTGAGCTTTGTATTCCTTTCATAATACACTGAAGTTAAGTCTTGGCCCAGACTTGTTAACTGAATTCTCCCCTTTTTTTAATGGAAGCTTCACCACTTAGTGAGCGATGACATCTGCTTGAAGGTTGTTGAGCTGTACCTGAATGAAAGGAAGCGAGGTGCTGCTGGAGGTAACCTGTCCTCTAGGTGTGTCCGGGCAGCAAAGGAGACCAGTTATCAGTGGAAGGCTGAACGTTGCATGGCAGATGAGAACTGTTTCAAGGTGAGAACCTGCTGCCAGGAAACTTCTTAAAGTGACTGTGCTACTTCACCTGGCAGAAATGGGTTTGAAAGCTCCAAGGCCACAATATGGAGAGAGGAATACCAAAAACAGCACAGACAGTAAGGTGGCATATTGACTCACTGAAAAGCCTTGTTGCTTACACCTCTCCTGTTCATGTATTTGTTGTCCAAATGACTTGTGAATATCTGTCATTTTATTGTGGACTCATATGGCCAACATCTTTCACCTGTCACTTTATTACAGGTAATGTTTCTACAGAGGAAAGGACAGGTGATCATGACCATTGAGCTTCTGGATACAGAAGAAACCCAAACAGAAGATCCGGTGGAGGTCCAGGTAATAGTATGGTGACCATGCAGTCTGCTGTACCACAGACAAATCAGATATCTAAGAATGCTTTTCAGCTTTCTTGATCCCAAATATGAGTTTTTGCCAGGAGGATAAGCTTATCTGGGAGGGTATGGCCATTGACAGAAATGTGTATGTTAATGAAACAGTTTCAACATAAATTATCTTGGGGTTGGATGAGGTACCAGCAGCTTCTTAAAGAGCATCTGGAAATAAACCAGACCTTTGCAGCAGTGTTTATCTTGAGAGAAATCTTGACTTGAAATTGATCTCTCTTGTAGCACCTTGCTAACTACATGGAGCAGTACGTTGGGGTAGAAGGAGTTCCAAACAACCAGAATGATGGCTTCTTACTGAAACCAGTTTTTCTGCAAAGGTGAGCTCCCTCCCTCTCCTGAGTCATATCTGGGGCAGCTGGTCCTGCTTCCTTTGACTGTGTGGCAGTGATTGTAGGTGATGTGCAGCACAGGCAGTTCTAGGGAAACGCACTCATCTCTGAGGTCCAGAGGGACTGCTGGAGTCAGTGTGCTGTACAGGAGTGCTGAAGAAAAAATTAATGACCACTGCACTGAGGTGTGTTTGTGATGGAGTGGGGCTGCCTCAGCAGTCCTTTCTGGGGGGACTCTGAGGTCTGATTTGTTTGTTTTCATTTCAGTAACTATTTGTTGAGAGTCTGTAAACTAAAACATGCATTTCATACTTATGCTGTCGGCTCTACTAGCTTAAGAGAGTGGGTGAACACGTGTGACAAATGCTTTATAATCTGTTTTGTTCTAGAAACCTAAAAAAATTTCGTAAGTGGCAGTGTAAGCAAGTGAGAGCTCTGCGGAGCGAGGTGAAGAGCTCCTGGAAGAGACTGATTGGGGTTGAGAGCGCATGCAATGTGGACTGCAGGTTCAAGCTCAACACCCACAAAATGATGTTCATCATGAACTCGGAGGATTACATGTACAGGCGGGGAGCGCTCTGCCGAGCCAAGCAGGTGCATCTCCTGTTACTCTCTCAGTAGTTTAGGCTATAGCAGAGGTAGAAGATTTGAGCCAAAAGACAGGTATTGGTAAGAAGTCTTGTGGCTGAATTTCTGCAAAATACGCCCAGAAGTTACTCCTCTGGATGTTGGATGAAACAAGGAAGAGAGATGGGAAATGTTCTGTGTTTTGGTTTAGTTTAGCAGTTTTTACTTTGCAAATTTTAAAGGGGAGTGGCAAACATTAAGAAATAGAGACCTTTAAAGGCAACTGTGTGGCTTTTCTGATTGTATTGTGTTGTAGAGCATGCCTGTCTTGGACATACAAAGAGGTGAAAGTTTTGACTTCTTGCCCAGAAACCTCTCAGTAATTTTTTTTCCTTTTTTGCTTTCAGGTACAGCCAATGGTGCTGTTAAAGCACCACCAGCAGTTTGAAGAGTGGCACAACAGATGGCTAGAAGAGAATGTGACCATGGAGGCAGTAGATGTCGTTCAAGATTGGCTAATGGGAGATGAAGATGAGGAGATGGTGCCCTGTAAAACAACTTGTGAGACAGTGAATGTCCATGGCGTCCCTGTGAACAGATACAGAGTGCAGTACAGTCGCCGTCCAGCTTCGCCATGAGGAGATTTGTGCCTGGGATTTGCTGGTGAAACACATTTACTCTAAGAATAGTGGTGGGAATGCAATGTATGTATTAATGGTATTTATCCAAACAGCATTTTACTTTGGATTATAATGTATTTTCCATATGGCATAGACTTGTCTCCTTGCAGTGTAATCCTCCAGTCATCGTGAAGAGACTTAACAGCTTTAAGGAAGAGGGCTCTTGGCATTGCCACACACTTTTTAGTAGTTTCCTAGCTTTAGGCCACTGCTGACCAGCCAATGCAGGAAAGCAGAACAAGTGGGCCAGGCTTCTGGTGATCTGCCACTGGTGGCTTTGTTGGACAGGAGGAGTTGGCTGGTGCTTGGCAAATGCTGGCAGCTGCTTCCACTTTGAAAAGTTTAATGTGCCCTATCGTCCTGAATTTGTGCCGTCTTGGAGCCTGCAGAACTCTTCAGTATAACCTCCAAGTGCCAGCGTGGCACTGATTGCCAGCCTTGCTGCAGGCTGGTTCATTATCTGCGTGTACTAATAAGGCAACAAATGCAGTGTTTGTTACTGGTGCTCTGGTGAGAAAATGTCGAAACTGAGGCAGAGGTGAACAGCATACTGATCACTCTTAACTCCTGCTCACCAACTGAGTATTCTGGAGTGTGAACTAAGGGGAAGAAACCCTGTGATCTGCAGTGCTGGGGAGGAGAAACGAGGCCCATGGCCCACCTGCCCGCAGAGCCCATCTCACTGCTTTGAGGATTTGTGACCTGCTGCAGTCTGCTGTCTCAGATCTGAAGCTGTTTGGAGTGTGAGTGTGGAGGAAAATATCCAGCGCGAGGGAGGTCTGGTTTGATTATTTTGGGTATTTTGCATGCTGACTGGCAGCCTCTGGAGACTGTGCTCTTCCTTGTGTGTGCCCAGACTGCGGTTCTGCTGGGTTGTGCCACTTAAATAACGGCAGTAGATGGAGCTCTTGCAGCACAGTGTTTGCTCTGGATCTGAAGTTTTGTCCCAGATACGCTGCTGTTCCTGCTAGGTCAGCACAGATGCTGTGTTTGCAGTGACACATGGAAGTCTGTAATGGGGAGGATTAGATCCAGCCACAACCACTGAATCTTTTCCGCCAAACCATCCTTACTTCTGCCCAAGGTTTTTTGAATAGAAGCAAAAGAAAACATAACCCGAACCATACAGAAAACTGCATCAACTGTCTGACTAAAAAAATCAAGGAAATTCAGCTGTGTCTGTCCTGCAGCCCCACTGTGACTTTGCTGTTGTTTTTTGGGGCCAAAGGCAAGCACTCTGTCGTGGAGCATATGATAAACATAATGTGTTGAGGCAGATCCAGCCTCCTTCAGCTCAACCTCCAGCTTTTCATGGCTATTAAGGGAATTACCCCCCAACCTGGATACTTTTTTTGTGGCTTTGATTTTAGGTTATCCTTTCTGCCAAACCTAAATAGCAGCCTGTAGGATTTGTCCTGGGTTATTTCCACTGTACAGCGTTGGGTTTACAATTGTCTCACTTGACCGTAGAAAAATTGGCCTTTGGGGTACATTTAATACAAAACTGTACTGACTCTTTGTCTTTTTTGCAAATTAATCTGTGGGAGGGAATGAAGGAGGCCAGTCTTTGGCATTTGTGGCCACTTGCACAACCACTGCCAGTGCAGAACTTCTCCTCAAGAACTCATGTTCTCATTGTCTGAGTGTCTGTTGAATTCTGGTTACTGAAATGAGCTGTGGAGGTTCTTCTCCTGCCCACATAGATATGGGAGAGGGAGGTGGAGAGGGGATTGAGCCCAGTGCAAAGCACAGAATCCCTTTTTCTTCCAGTCAGCTCAACAGAATACGCCTCAGTCCTGTTCACCTCTGCTGTCTTCCAGTGGAGATGATAACTGTGCCAAATTTTATGGTTTTACGATACAGAAAAATGTTTACTAGACAATAGGTTGCAACTTGTGGCTTAAAATGAATTTGATTCCAGGTGTCCCACAGCTTATGAGGGTAATGCACCTGTGTGCCATCTTGTTCCATCTCCCCATTTTTAAGTGTACTTCAGGTATTTTTAAGCATCCTTATTTTGTAAACTTTAATTTATAATCTCGAATGGATTACAACAGACTGTGGCCCTTCGTAGTGCTATTGTCTCAAAAACAATGGTAGCAAATGATGTGAAGTGATGGGATAAGTGGGCAGTGCAGATCTGAGAGTGCTTTGCTGATGTCTGAGAGTTTAAGCTCAGCTGTTGTGTATCTGCAAGCACGACCTCAAATCAAGAGTTTGTTCTTCCATTTTTTTTGAAGGATCTTTGCTTTTGGGCTTATAATTGCTTTGCCAGCTCTTTGAATGTAGTTTGTTTTTTTATATTTATTTGCACATCCAAGTCAAATAAAATACTGATTTTAAAAGTCTGCAGGTCTCACTGTTTTAAGTGGGTTTCAGATTTAATGTAAGCCTTCTGATAACCCCTGGAACTGACCGTCCTGCACCTGAAACTGCATTTTCAATGGCAGAAAAATGCTCTTGCAGTTACAGGGAGCTGCATGCAGCTGTGTGCCAGCCCCCTTCCAGCAGGTTTAATCTTCTCAGTGTGGTGAAGTGAGCGCACTGTGTGACGTGAAAGGGAAGGTTTCCTGCATGCAGATCCCACATGGGAAGGCAGCACCTCTGGTTCTGCACGCACTGCGCTGCGGGAGCACAGCTGAGCTCGGGCGGCCGTAAGGTGGCACAGTTGCTCCGTGTGGGAGTACGTTTCAAAAGAAAACACCGCACGGAGCCGCTTTGCACAGCTCCGTGTTGGCTCATTCCTAGCAGCACCTCTGCCACGAGAGGTGTGCAAAACCGGGTCCGGACCCAGCCTCAGCTGCTCGTGTGCTCTGCAAACAGCCCTTGGAGCGCACGATTCCAGTTCCGAAATCTATCAGCACATCTGCTCCAGGTTAAGGCAGTACAACTACAACCACGAAAATCACCCCCACCCGCCTTCCCCTCAGCCTCCCCAAATTCCTGGGTAATAATAACATGTTGAACCGCCTTCCCTGGGAGCCCTGCGCAACAAATGGATGTGCGGAGTTTGCAAATTAAGCTGCAGCGCTGTGACCCAGATCTGATAGGAGTTTCCTTTACATCATCCTCAACACTTCCGTTGCCATAACAAAAGGCGATTCCACTTTCTGTGCAGCGCAGCGTTGCTCACAGGGAAGCAAACCTCCATTCTCTGCATAACAATCCTCTGATGAATAAACGGTATGAATAATTTGATATAAACGATGGTGGTGACGTAGCAGAGGACGCATTATATTTTACACAAAAGTGTCCTCTTGGAGATGTTGGACTTAACACAAAGAACGGCCCCTGTGCTGCGGGGGAGTGAAAGGCGCTGGGGGCGGCACAGCTGACACCGCCAAACACAGCTGGAGCTCTCAGCAATACATGGCTTTACAAGATCCTTCACGTTTGCACATGGAATAATAAGGAGTGTTTTTATAAATTGCATTAAGAATTGCTGAAGGGAGCACTTGAACCGTGGAGAAAGGAGAGGAGGGTGAGCTGTGGCTGGTGAGGGCAGGAGGTGCCCCATGCATGAGGGCAGCCCCGTGTGCCACCCACAGCCCCCAGATGCCACAGCCTGCGAGGACGAACCCAGGCTGAGAGGTCCCTCATTTCTTGCTCACTGGAGCTTTTCTGTGCTGCGATTTGGAGAAGGCTCCGATGCACAGCCGGTGGCTGGGAAAATCAGCATTGCATTCATGGAAAATGTGAGGTTGTGCTGACAGCGGTGGAAATGCTGCGTGCTGCTGGCTCTGCCCCGAGCTGCTGCCTCTCATTCTGCAGCAGGAACACGAGCTCAGCCCAGGGCAGGATTCAGCTGCACCAGTTCTCTCTTCACACTGCTGGTTTGCAGCTGAGCTGCTGGAACAGAGCAGGAACCTGAACCCTGTTATGAGCATCTGAGTCCCAAAGTCAGATCAGTCGGGCCCTAAAGGCACCACGTGGGGCAGGGCAGGTGCTGCCCATACCTCCCTCACACCTCTAAAATCCCTCCCATGTTCCAGTCCTACGTGCTCAGGGTTCAGAGCAATGGAAGCAAAGAGTGCTTTCTCCCAGGAGATACCTATTGCACAGCGAGAAGCTTTAAAACCAAACTGTTACCCCACAGGGAAGGGAGCAAATGAGATGTTAACAAGCTGTGACAAACCTCTGGCATGAGAATTTTCAAGCAAGCTGTTCTGCATCTAAGGCAATCACTAAAGATCACACAGCATCTGAAAACTGAAGGATAGAGCAGTGAATAACCTCTCCCTGCTCCACTCCAGAGACCCATCCGTAGGAAGCAGGGTTGTGATTTGCACACTATCTGCACCTGATTATGGCTAATTTTTTGCATACAGAGCATGGAAAGGATCCTGGTTGAGGCATGGAAAATACGTGGCCACATGAGTCATGTTGTAATGGTTCATAAATCCTGAGAGAATCACAAAAGCAAAACATCCAACATTGCATCTTCCCTATCCCTGCCAGCGGAACCCCACCTCTCGACACAGGGATGTGGGAATATGGTGAAAGCAAAGGAAATAGGATCATTTTCTCCTTGGAATAGAGGAATCTCATCAAACAGCAGCCAGGCTCAGATTTGCAGCCTTCACAGAAGAGGCCATTCATGAGGCGAAGAAACAGGAATGAACTGCTCCTCAGGATGCCAAACCAAATTTACAATTCCTACCGCCTGGGCTCCAGCTCCATCCTTACCTCATGGAGTGGCAGCCCCAGCACCCCACGCTGTGCCCTCATTGCTGGAAAGGGCCCAGGGAGGCAATGGGACAGGACTGGGACTTTCCCGGTGGTGCTGCGTGAGAGCACAGAAAGGCCTTACACTCCCAAAGAGTTGGAGAAGGAGGGACCATGCAGCTCTCCAGAGCCATCAGGGTTGGAACACCAGAGCAGTGGGGCTGGAACTGGGTGATCTTTGCGGTCCCTTCTCTCTTAAGGCACCCTATGATTCCACAGCTCTGTGCAGGTTGTGCAAATGGAGCGCTGCTCTCCTGGGGGTGTTGGGTGGAGGCTGCGCATCTCTGGAAAAACACAGCTCTGCGTGGGCACGAGTGGCTGCAGTTCACTCTTATCTGCCCAAGCACAGAGACTTCCCCAGCCCACGTCAGCCCCTCTCCTGCAGGAGGGCTCAGCTCGCCCTGCCTATCAGCGGAAGCAGCACATCTCCATCAGGCCGGGACCTCACCGCTTATCTGTGTGCGTCACAGCACCGGCTGCTGCTTCCTTCAGATGGCCTTTAATTAACCTCTGCAGCAAGAGCAAGGAGGGAGGGAAGCGGGATTAGAAATAAAGAAACAGAACTGTGGTGGGCTGAACCCAACATGGGGGCTGCGGGGCGGAAACCAAACCCTGAACTGTCCCCAAGGCCATGGAAGAGCCCTGCACAGCCCCAGGAGCTGGGGAGGCTGCGGCCCTCCAGCACTCCATGGCTGTGTGTGGGGATGACATCTTTGAAGGCACTGAAGCAGTGTGGGAGGACCTCAAGCACTGCACAGTGCTGCTCGGATCCCTCTCAAGCAGAAGGATGCCATGGGACACGGAGGCCATAAGAGTTTCAATGCAGTTTACACACTAAATCAAATTCAAAGTGTGTCAGATGTGACTGTGCGTTATTTTCAAGTGCAGCCCAGAGCAGGGAGGAGACCCAAATGAGTCACTCGAGCTCTGACAAACAATCCCTATGGGTCTGGATGCGTGCGTCCCCCCAACAGCTGACACCACAGCTACGTCTCTGCTCCGACCACGCTGGCTCTGGGAATGCCGTGACAGGACGAGCCGGTGCTTCCGAGTGTTAAGGACTGCGAGGAGGAAACGCACAAGCACAGTCACTCACACAGCCTTTCCCAGCTGCCTCCCAGTAGTGCAGCTCCTGCAGCAGCATGGGGACCTCCAGGAGTGGGCAGTTGGCACCGCGGCTCGCACTGTGCTGTGCTGCGTGGGGACTGGGCCTGGCGGCGCCTGATTATGATGGTGAGTGGGCATCTCTGGGGGAAAACTGCTTCTTAAAGCACAGGAGGTTTGGGACTTCTAAAACATCCCCGAGAACACATTTATGAAATATTATTCTGGATGCTCCATCCCTGGAGGTGCCCAGCGCCGTGGATGGGGGCACCCAGCCCACGGCACAGGGGTTGGAACTGTATGATCTTTAAGGTCCCTTCCAACCTGAGCCGTTCCATGATTCCATGATCATGAGAGTGCATGCTCATTGAGATTCATGCCTGCTCTACTTGAAATAGGAAGTGATAAAGGATGTTTATGGAAGGGAAATTAAAACCAGTGTAGAACAGAGCACTTGAAGCCAAAATCTTCAGCTAAAAGCTTCCACAGCTTTGCATTGGAGTGGCCCTAGATTGCAGGACTCTGCCAGCTGGGCAGAGGGATCGTGCCCTGTTCCCCTGGTACCTGAGCTCCATAGCAATTGCGAGTGGTAGGAAGCAGAGCACAGAACAGACTTGTCAGTTTGCAGTAAGGTCCCCGATGGACACTGCTGCACACATAACTCCATCTCTGCTTTTTCTGCCCGTGAACCATTATCATTTTGCAGAATGCAACCCAACAATACAATGCAGCACCTTAGAATTTGGTGTAAGCATCATGAAGCCAGCCTGCTCTGCAAAGCGCTAGTATTAACGTGTGCAGCAAGTAACAGACTGCATTTACACCAACAGATTACTCTCAGAACAGCACCAGCGAGCAGATAACGACAGCAGAGATCACACCGTGCCCCCGAGCCATCCCCGGCGAAACGGCCACCATAGACAACACGACGTATCTGCTGCTGCACGAGGCCGCTCGCTCCCAGCTGAGCAGTGGGGTCACAGTGCTGCTCATCCCCTCCCTCTACAGCCTCGTCTTCCTGCTGGGGCTGCCCTCCAACGGGCTGGCCCTCTGGGTTTTGGCTACCAGGACTGAGAAGCTGACCTCCACCATCTTCCTGATGAACCTGGCTGCAGCAGACCTGCTGCTCATATCGGTGCTGCCCTTCAAGATATTCTACTATTTCCTTGGGAACAACTGGCCCTTTGGGGAAGGTCTGTGCCGGGTCACCACAGCTTTTTTCTATGGGAACATGTACTGCTCCGTGCTGCTGCTCACGTGCATCAGTGTGGACCGGTACCTGGCAGTGGTGCATCCTTTCTTGTCGCGTTCTTTCCGTACCCCTGCCTTTGCTGCCTGGACCTGTGCTGCTGTCTGGCTCTGCGCTGCTGTCATCACTCTGCCCCTGACTCTGCAGCAGCAGTCGTATCCCCTGTACAGAGCAGACATCACCCTGTGCCACGATGTTCTCCCTAGGCAGGAGGATGACGGCTTTTACTTCTACTACTTCGTCTGCCTCGTCGCCTGCGCTTTCCTCGCTCCGCTGGTGGTGATGCTGTTCAGCTACTGCTCAGTGCTGCAAGCCCTCCTGGGCAGTGGGAAGCGCTACTCCCACTCCATGAAGCTCACTGCTCTCGTGCTGTTCACACTCGTGGCCTTCTACACTCCCAGCAACGTTCTCCTCCTCGTTCATTACTCCAGCTATCAGTGCAAGCTGTACGGCAGCTGGTACGTCGGCTACATGGTGAGCCTGGCCATCAGCACCTGTAACAGCTGTGCTGACCCCTTTGTCTACTACTACGTATCAGAAGATTTCCGGGAGAAGGTGAGGAGTACATTCTTCAATCGCAGCAAAACCCCCTCCTTACAAACCTCCAAAGAAACACTTCCTCAGAAAAGCTCCAAGGAGTCACTGGTGTAAGCCTCCATCCCAGCTCCCTGCCCCAAGGCACTTCCAACACACTGCGGGGACGGGACAAAGCACTGGGACTTCACAGGTTTCACCCAGAGCAGTGAGGAGCAGTTCCCAGCAGACAAGCCTCACGAAGAAAGAACCACATTTTTCTGCCTGCACAGCTAAGAGCAAATCAACCCAGGTCACAGCGTTCCTTAAAGGATGGTGAGTCCCAGTGACTCAACACGTGAGATGTGGAGTGCTGAGCACATATAGATCTGCCTCTGGGACACTGCACGCAACTTCTCATCTGGTTACACACCGCCAGGATGGTTTTGTTGTACACCCAGGTCTGCTTTTAATGCGTGCTGTGAGCTGGCTGCTATCTGCCTTCTATTCATTTTTCTGGCTTCCTTGCTGTCCTTGAACACATTCTTTTTACCTAAAACTGAAGGAGAACAGGCACTTGCATAACCAAATTTCTAAACATTTCAAAAATATCAGGAGGTACTTACATAAAAGGCACCCATTGCCTGAACTAAAATGTTCTGTCCAGAGAACACAAAGCATCAGCTTTTCTAGCTGTTATGTTCTTGGCTCAACCAAGAATCACCACCCCAGTAAAGGCAGCCCACGTCATAAATGTAAAAACCCAATTCCTTCATCCCTGTTGATGCTAACGACCTCTGCTACCCAAAAGGCCAAAACTGTATTCTGTCTCTTGAAGGAAAATATTAAAGAAGGAAATGAGAAAACACTCAGAACACTTTTTTTTTTTTTTTCTTCATATCACAAAATGAAGAGCTTTCTTTTATGAAACAGGTGATTACACTCATTGCTCAGCCCTGGGGTGTGCTGCAAACTATTCAAAACACAGCTCAGCTCTGGGCACATCTCAACAAGGAGCAAGGCAGAAAACGAGCAACAAAATTCCTTAGAGTTCCTGAATTTTGTGGTTCTATTGGTACAGCCACGACTGTGATCTACAACCAAACCACCCTACAGCCTACAGTGTGAATAAAGAGACAGAAAAGATTGTTTTAAAATCAGTTTTTAATAAAATATTTACCAGAATCTAAAACAAACCCTTTTCTGGACTCAAAGTTGCTAAGATGTGTGTGTGAACAAAACAAAAATGCTCATAGAATGGTGTGCTCACATGTAAGTGCTGGGGTGGAATGCAGGTGAAAAAGCAGAGCCCATCTCCTGTGGGTGCAGCAGTGCAGCTGGAGAGGCAGCGCAGACTGCTGTCACTCCATCAGGAGGAGCAAGCACCAGAAAACCAAAACAGGAAAAGAAACAACAAAATGAGCTGAGGTTTTCCAAATAGGTCATCTGTCAACCATAATGCAAACCAGGTTACCCCGCGTTAAATATCAGTTGTCAGTGTTAGCAAAGCAAGTGCTGTCGTTTCCATGATGTTATTCAAGCAAGCTGAACGTTCTGAGGGTTTTTCTCCTACTGAGGCTGATTAAAAAGAAGGGAAAGAGCTAAGACTAAAACACCCAGACAACAAAGGACAAGGGAGCTATTGCTTTAAAATAAATACCATAGTAATGGTTACTCTGCATAATGTACAGTTACAAATATATAAATATTAATTTCACTGAAAGGATTGCAAGCAGAAAGTCACCAATAATTAGCACTGCTGTTGGCTATTTAGTAACGTAACTTGGGGGAAGCAGAAATCTGTCTCACAAACCCATCAGAGAAAGGAAAGGAGAAGCATCTCTCTAACAGAGGGAGGCACACATCTCTAAGCCACAGCCAACTCACAGCCCAAAGCAGCAGCAGCTCTGCTGGCATTCCACCACTGGGTTTGTCTCTTCCTTGGTGACAAATGAACCCATTCTCTCCTAGCTATGAAGAGGAGACAGCCCAATGATTGCCCTGAAACTGCCCCAAGGAGCCCCTTTCTTGAATCTGGAGTTACTCCATTACACACAGCAGGGCCTGAGGAAAATGAAGTCACATTTAACACTCAGCTCAAACCCTCTGCCTTCATCAGCTCATCCCACTGGGGACACTGCTGGACTGCCCAAGGATCTACGAGAGCACCAACATGAAATTACCTCAAACATCCTTCTGAAACTACTGAAGGGATGAGACAGGAAAATTGAACCCAGGAAGGGAAAGAGCACAGGAGGCTGAAGAGCTCAGGCACAGGTCCCATCTTCCCAGGGCAGTTGGTTACACTGACAGAATCACGGTGCCCAAATGTCTTATTCTCCCGACTCAAAGCACTGAACAGAAGCTGAAACCAGTAAACAGCAGGGTTTGTATCGTGCAGCTTTGATAGCCAGGAAAAAAAAAAAAGGAAAAAAAAAAAATCAACCAAAAATCCCTCTCTCTGCAGCTCATACTGGGTCTGCTGTTTATCCAGGGGATAAATATTGACTCAGGCCGTGTGTACACAATAGCCAGCATCTGCCAGGCCAGTCGCTTACAGGAGATGGAGCTGAGTTTAAGGGCATTTCTTTACCTGCCAGCCAGGAACGCAGCTGCCAGCGCTTCCATTGCACAGTGTGGACACAGCAAGGACACAATCTGTTAATGTGCTCTGAACAGACGTGGCAAAAAACTGCAGAGGAGCAGTGGGTACACACAGGTAGCAGCCACAGTGAGGTTCTGCAGGAGAGCTCAGAGCAGCAGGCAGGCTGCTAAGCTGGTGGGAAGGCTCATACCTTCACAGAGCAGTTCTGAAACTCCAGAGAACGCGGAGAGCCAAACCCTCGCCATGTCAGTGATGTTCTGCAAATAGCCAGCCCTGACACAAAGGGCTGGAAATTACTGTAAAGCAATGGAAAGCACGGCAATAACTGAGCAGCGAGGTGCCAGGCTGCAGCAAGTGAGGCTTTGCTCAAATGCAACAGCAGTGGGCACAGAAATGAAGGAAAGAAGTTGCTTCCCTTCAGAAGGCCTCAGGGATGCAGGGATCTCCAGAAGATCCCCTCACCTCTGCTACCAACCCTTAAATAAGGGCTGGGAAGGGGGGATCCTGGCTCCATCCTGCACCTGAGCTCCCCTAGGCTGGCCCTGCCTTCCACCAGGTGTTCAATCATTGCATTTCTGCTACAACTACACACCCAAGGTCTGGGATATCTCCTGTTTTATCCCTGTACAGACAGTTTTCTGGAATAAAACTGCCCATGTTCTGGAATAGAATGTCTATGCTGGGATGTATTCTTGTCAGTGTTCCTATGTAAGTAAGCCCTCAAAGTGAATGGGGTTGGGCTTTTTCCTGTTTCCATTCACCACGAAACATCCCTAAAGGAGTTCCCACCCCACTCTGGGTCCTCCTAACAATAGAAGTGAGAAGATAAAATATTAGCAGTATTTTGCAACAGGCAATTGAATCAAACTCCTCCAAAGAGAACAGTGCTGCTCCAGGCAGGGAGGGAAACCAAAAAGTAATGCACTTTTGGAAACAAAGCTATTAGTTTTAGTTGTACTGCATTGCTGGTGCAGGTCAGGCTATGGGGATCTGAACCACCAGCAGCTCCAGGGCCTACGTATGGATGGCCATATCCAACAAAGGCAGTGTATGCAGGTCCTGGGGGGAGCAGAATTGAAGTGATTGGTGAAGTCAGGCAAGCATTTAAAAGAACTGTGCCTCAGGTCAGCTTTATTTTCATGCCAGGGTTACAAGGAGGAAAGGGGCTGCAGAGCTGAGAAGGCTGCAAGCAGCCCTCACCAGCACATAGTGCAAAATGAAGAGGGCTCATCCACCAGATGCTGTTACAGCTGGCAAACTCCTCACCTGAAGCTTTCCAGCCCTGGATTTCAGTTTTCTCTTGTAAAACAGACCACCCAACAACATGGATATAATAGTGCAGTTTTTCTTCTTGTGGGACATCACTATGGGTGCAGTAGATTTATAGGCTAGAGAAGATTATTAGCCTCTTGCTATGTCATAACTAGCAAAATACACTGATTTTTATTATTATAATTTGAGAGAAAACTTCTCAGCCATCTTTCCTCAAACAGCAGTTTAGCTAAGCACAAGGCCTGGACTTAGCTTCTAAATGTAGCTAGGAAATGGCAGTTGCAGTATCCTGATAATAGAGAAAACACTTGGAAATGGTCTATAGGTTTGAATTCCAGCCCCTATTTTTCTCACCTAGAGGGCACAGCATATCGGCCTTCCATCCTTGGAAGCATTCCTAAGAGGTTGCACAAAGGGCAGAAAAATTGACAGAAGAATAACACCGAGTGTCCCTCTGTGCTCTCCAGTTCTCCCCGTGGGGCAGAAAAGCTTACACAGTTCTGAGGGCAGCAGGAAGTAGTCATCATTCAGTTTCTGTTCTGCAGCAGGTCATCTGTTGGAACAAACTCATACGGGAGTTGATTCTGAGCCTCTTCTCTTTGTTTAAATTATATATTTCTGTTGAAAAGAGAGCATGATGAAAAAAGTCACTTTCCCATTACATAACTTCATGGCACATCCCTGAGACTGGGCAGCAAAAAGCTTCAATCTCCCAAAAATGGGGACACCCAGGTATGAAGACTCACATGCTGTCCCAGTGAGATCTTGATCCCGGTGAGCATTTGCTAAAGAGGCTCACGGGCCACTTATGAGAACGCCCGTTTTGAGGAACCAGACGCATCTGACCCAACACATGAACTGCTGTGCTATCACTCACAGCAGATTTGCACTCCCCAGCTCACCATTCTACGGTGGTCACTACTTCCTGAATGGCGTCCGCTTCTCTCAACGTGCTCACTGTTGTCAGTTCTGCCACCATCTCAAAAACATCAGCTTCAGAGGCGTAGGGGTCCGGGTCGTACTCATAGGAATAATACGACAGATCCAACTGCAGCGGAGGGCCTTCCTCAGCTGGAAAGGAAACCGTGTTGTGCTTTAGCCAAAGAAACTTCTATGCTGGGACATGCAATGCTTAAGTGCGAAGGGAAATGACATCACAGGGAAGGAATGGCAGTAGGGAAACAACTCAGGAGCCATACAAGCCTGGTCTAGCATTAGGTGGGAAGGTTGGTGGCCCTGCATGTGGCAGGGGAGTTGGAGATTCATGATCCTTGAGGTCCCTTCCAACCCTGGCCATTCTGTGATTCCGTGATTCATTTGTGTAATGGAGGCTGCACGTGTCAGCAGAGCAGTGCACGCATGCTTAGGTTCGCATACAAAACTTACTCCATGTATGTGATGAAGAGGTTGGAAGAGGAAGATTTGTTTTCAGACCAACAGCAATGAAAATTTCGGCACAACAGACCTGGATCCTACACTGAAAACATTTACTCTGCTTTCAGCCTCATCTAGCTGAGGTGTGTCTGCTTCGGCCAGAGCACCAGGGAGCTGTCAGCATTTAGGACAGAAACGTGCAGAAACACAATTATCCTCCACACATTCCCTCCAGCCTCCCCAAGGCACTGGCAGGTCACTCACAGCAACCATCCCACCAAAACGGGCCGTACCTCAGTGCTGGGTGATGGCCCACAGCCCGGAGGTAAGGCTGCAAGATGCAGTGTCAAGGAATATCAGCAGCTCCCTGCGCTCTGAGCTGTGCCTTGAGCCAGCTCAGCTTTTCATCTCACCCAGTTTGCTTTCTACACACTGCTTTGGATTACAGCAATCACCAAAACACAGTTGTTGCAAGAGGAAACGTCCCCCTCATAAAAGTTTGCTTTATTAAAGGAGGATGCTTGTCAAGGCCTTTGAAAACATTTGTTCTCTAGAAATAAAATATTTGAAGGCTTTCCTGCTGCCTCCCACACCCTCCCAGGAACAGCTCAGCCCAAGGCAAGGGAACACTTGCCTGCAGGCAGTCAGTCTGTGTTCACTTCTTGGCCTTCTCCAAGCGAGAACGTGCCAGATCATGAGGCTGCTCTATGAATGGATGATTGCTGTCCACCAGGGACAGAATTAACATCACAGACCTCACTTTTCCTAGGAATGCAGCGTTGGAGTCAAAGCAAAGATGAAAGGCTGACATTTCCTGTTGCATACAAACTGCTGTCCCATCTCCAAACGTTTGTGCCTCAGCCAATGTTTGCTGAGCAGCAATGGGGGGAAAGGAGAAGTGGCCCAATGCCAATTCCATCAGTTCTCAAAGAGCAGCACTGCTGTGAGTGGATGATTCCACCTGGAAACAGAGCTCACCCTGATGTTCCCATCAGAAGCCAGAGATGGGTGATGGCATTTTCTGAAATACTAATGATGGCACCAAATTAAAGAATTGTAATACCACCAGGAACTTGATTGCAGCTCCTGGACCTTCTGACTGCTGGAACAGAACTGCACAAACAATACAGCTCCAGCTGTGGGGAGAAGGCTGGAGGGCATGGGGGGGGTCAGACAGCACAAAAGCTGGGGGCTGCCTGCTCAGGGAAGCACAGAGTGCAACAGAACAGCAGCAGTGAAACCACCGAGTGCTGCCACAGCATTATTTGATATTGCTTCTCCACCCAATACATGCAGAACCACAGAATCATCAATATCATCAATGCATCTTCTACCACCGCCAGCTGTACATTTAGCACCTTCAGTAGAGAAGATACAGGCAATTTCAGAAGATCATTAAAGACCTAATGAATCAATTAATGCACCATTTTATCAGAGAGGTCTTATCAGAGCTACTAAAGATCCCTGAGGCTCTGAAACCAACCATCTTAGGGAACTCATAGACAGAAACGCACTGAAGATGCTGCTTATGGCCCACTCAGCAACCAGAACCTTGCCTCAGGAGCTTTCTGTTCAACCAAAGTGACTGGAACAGGCTCTGAAAGCACACCAGCACAGCTGCAGCACTTATAGGCAGGGGTGGATCCCTACTACTCATGGAAAAGCTGCTCCACCTCTGAGTGTCAGTAGATCACCTGTGAGAAACAGCTGAGGAAGGGGATTCAGTCATGAGTACCTTCAGCTGGCTTTCATTTCAGCTGGGTTCTGTCAAACTTTTCTCTAAATCAAGAGAATATGCCACAAGCAGCACTGATTTTTCAGGGCATCCATACAGTTATTATACAGTTGAATAGCATAACTCTTAAGCTGTTATTTATTCTAGTAAACTCAGTGGAATATATGGAACTATACTACAAGTCTGTCTGCCAAAGCGAGCCCAAATACATTATGAAGTTCCCCACTGTTTGCTGGAAGGATTGTTGCCATTGCTGAGTTACCATAGGCAAGAGCTGACAATGGAAGCATCAATCAAACCAAGCTGAGCCTGCACAAATCACGTGGCAAATGCAGAAAGATATCAGACAACAAAACCACCACGAGGTTCTGCAAGAAAACGGCATTTCCTGACGATTAACACACTGAAGCAACTTCATCCACCCGCCTTAATCTTGATCTG